TGGTTAAAAACTATTTAGAAAACAGCGCCTGGGAAGGTTTGCCCCACCCGCCTTATATCCCAGATGCTTCGCCTTCTGACTATCATTTTTCAAGTCGATGTAGAACAAGCTCACTATAATACGATTCAAATAGAACAGGGTATCAGAAATTGCGTGGATTTAGTCTTGGTCGCCAAACCGTCGCAATTAAATCTATTAAACGAGATATTTTTTCAAATAGTTGGAAGTGAGATATGAATTTTTCTATCTGATAATAAAAAAAATTTTAAAACCGTTAGGAAGGAAGGACCTTCCCTTTATAATTAAGAGCTCATACTTGGATAAACTTTCTTAGAGGTATCTATCAATCAATACTTCAGAGTACCAAACGAAAAAAACACATTCGTTTTCTGACCCACCGTATTGTATGTACATATTTTTCTTAAACAAAAGTTCAAAGTTAGAAAAAAGCCGCACGAATGTGATTATAAACTCATTGCATCTAAGAAAATGAGAATTTTTTAAATTCTGTGCAAAGAATTCACAAAAATATTTCCATTGAACATAATTATACCAGCAGAATCAGTAGGTGTAAGTATTGACATTCAAAGTAATAAAGGCATCTGTTAACATTCAACTGTTATTGTTCATAAAATTAATATAATATTTATATGACTCACCCTATTGCAAGCTTGGTTGAATTGAATCATAAAGATGGCCGCCCCACAGTTTTTTGTAGCATTTTCCACATTTCTTCACGCGCACAATGCTCAGAATGCTAGCGCAGGCGGCCATATTGAATTAGCACGACGCACTATAAGCAAGGCATTTAGATTTTATAACTTTATTAAATAATTTTCTTTTATAGAAATATTTTTTTTACACTTATAGCAAGCACAACTTTCATTATTTCATTAATTAACCCTGAACTATTAATGAATATCACACACAAGCGACGAGATGATAAGCCGCTGCATGCATACAAGAAATCTTCTCAGTTTCTTAATTAAGCGTAAAATTAGCATGGAGACCCAATGAAAGTTAACTTCATAGCACAATTGTTGTGAGAAATCACTTATTTTATTCATGAAATTTCGTTTTGCACAAAGTTTTTTTATGACCACTCAACGACACACGCACGACGGCTAAAACGCGACTAGTGGATGTTATACTCCAATAGCTAACGGAAAGAAGTGATAACCGTTCGTACAACAACATCCTAAGCGGAAAAAGTAAGTAAGTAAGTAAAAGGAATTCCTCTACAAGGCATTGCTAAATTAGCACAGCCACAAACCACAAGTGAACATCCGATTACAGCGCCACCATTGCAAGCGGCTGGTCAAACGAAATTGGCAAAGGCAATATATATTCAGTATGTTTAGAAAATCAACAATAAAATATAAATTTAATAAACAAATCTTTTTTTTTAATTTATCGATTAATTGGTGACTCAATTCATGCCAAATAACCAGGAATTTCATACCTAACCGTCATTTAAAATTTCAAAGTTTAGCCAATAACAAAACCTCGGCGTGGGCGCACCATCTGTAGGTGAATTTTTATCTGTATTCATTCTTTTCCTTTGTGCTTGTCGTAGGAAGTTCCGTTAGTCAGTTGGGTTTTAGTTGTAGCCGGTTGTAGTTGAAGTGTTCGTTGTTTAGTAGTGTGTTAGCAATATGAAGAGCACTATATTGTATTTAATAAGAAAATATGTGAAGAAATCTATAAAAATAGTTGTGAAATAATAAAAATATGGCTTAGAAATATATAATTTCATTGAAAGCGATGAGTTCAAAAGGGTTAAAATTAAGAAGTGTGAGTGGCGGAAGCAAATAAATGTCTGTTAAAAGTAATAAGTGTGAAAAATGCCTAGAAAATGTGTGTCTTTATAATATAATGTGCAATAAAAGTTCAATTTCATTGGCACTGCAAGATGGCCGCTCGCCTTAGGAATTTAATTGCACGCACTGGCCAAAACGGGTGAGCCAAATGTTAAATTTAAATTTGTTTAACAAAGATGATAAGCTAAGTACCAAAATTTGTTTGATATACCAAAATATAAGTTTGTTAATAACTTTTTAATGTATTATTCATTGAAATTAATGTAGCTAGTTAAGTGATTCGAGTTTTTGGGCATAAATTGAGCTGTAGTCACAAACATTTTCATAATTTTTAACTGTAGTTAATATTAGAATACAAATCAAAATAAAGGCAGATTTATGTGAGTGTACTCATGGGTGTTGTGCGTATGATCAAATAAGCAAAATTATAACGGAATATAACTCGGACTGTTAAAAGTTATCTTTTTGTGTTTATACATATCTGTATACGTATTTTGGTGCTCGTTTCTGTCGTGGTAGGCTTAAAATTGTTAGAGAAATAGGGACTCCCAAAAACTGTCACATATTTCCTTCTGGTCGCACTTTGAATTAAGACAAGCATTGAGTTTTAATTAATTTAAATTTTTGTCTCTGCAGCAGTAAAAACAGCCAAATATGATAAATAAAGTTCTAAAACAATGTCTTTTTTATGTTTCGCTTGAATTTTGTATAAATAAATATATATATTAAATTTCAAGTTCTTAAAAGGTAGATAAACCACTCTCATAAGAAAAGCCATAATGGCTTAAAGCAACGAAATAACACAACCAAAATAAGAGAAAGACTCGCACAATTCTGAATCGTGGACCTATGCTCCAGAGAGGAGTAAAAAAATTATTCGAAACATATGTAAAATAAATAATACAAGATTGGCATTTAGCGCATATTTCATATTTATTCAGTACATACTATATTTTATTTCCTATTTATTTTAAGTATTAAGAGACTACGATTTATTCATGAAATATTTATTAGCATACACTAGTATTTATATAATAAATATATAAGAGCTATACGTATATATTAACACACACATTTCTCTTTGATATCCGTAGTTAGCGGAAGTGAACACTAATTTTTAACAATTCAATTCACAAACTTTTTTATTCTTTTAAATTTATATTACTAGTTGTATTGTGGTATATAGTTTTGTATTTACAATAATTAGATTAGAGAAGGAATTAATTAAATAATGAAGAGTCATAGGAAAAATAAAAAAGAGAATATTTTTCTAAAAGTATTTAAAAAATTATAATATAAAACATAAATTAAGCACATAAAATAAATAATTTGCTTATGCTCATTCAAGTGCATACAATATTTAGTAATTGTGTAACTATAAAGAGAATAAGAACTCTTTGGATTTACTTATAACATATATGATATATGTACAGAAATAACTACTATCTTTCAAATATTAATTTTTTAAATTATTACTTAGGTCTAACATATTATTTAGGCGCACTTTTTAATTATATGGATATATATCATTATTTTTCAGTAAGGGCCAGACATAGTAAAACATTATTACAATATAAACTTTAATATTTTATTTTAATAATAACAAATAAGTTAATGTTTACTTATTACTTGTTATCAAAATTTAAAATCAAATCACTTTTAATTATCATCGTCAGTGATAATTAAAAAAAAAAAAAAATATTTTAATTATTTGTTAATACTATATTATTATTTTATAAAAAATACTAAAATCATCCGCTGTACTAATTTGTTATAGTCAATTCAATTTTGCAGGTAAAATGTTTTAAAAAATTTCTTGACATTAATACAGCAAACTATGAATTTATTTCGAAACTATTTATAAGTAGTTTAGTAAATTAAGGTATTTCACCTCTAATGAAAAAATAATAATTAAGTTCAAAAAGCTTTCAACAAAAAATTGTTAGTGAAAGCTCCACAGATGTAAAAATGTTTGGATAAAAATTATATTTATAATATAGAAACGCTGTTTTTTAAAAAGCTCGTTAAAGCTTTAAATAGCATAGACCAGTAGATACTTACACAATTTTTTATAATGATAAAGCTATTATCAAATTTGCGAAAAAGCGTTACCTCGTAAGTTATGTATAGGAACAGTGTTCAAAATTTCAAAACGATCGGTGCCGTTGTTTTGAAGTTTTGCGGTGCATACACTTTGAAAACGTGAGTTGTGGGAAAAGCGCTGAAAAGTTTTGAAATCTGATGTGACACGTTCATAAGACAGGTATATAAATACTCTTAACTTCGTAAATTTTGCTCCAATCTACTTGAAAACTATCTTCTTTAGATATTACGCATTATTTAAGACCTAAAATTATGAGCGTCAGCGCTTCGATCGGCGGTCAAACCTCAAATAAACGTTGTAAAACCGTGCATTGGTTGCCTTTCAGCATGAAAATCACTCTGAATGTACATATAGCTTGAAAAAACTGCTCATAAAAATTTAGCTTTCGCATTAATTCTATATTTAACGTCAGCGGAAACAGAATGAGTAAGCTTCGACTTATATGAACCGAAATTTCCACGAGTCTAATTTTTCATATGTGGCGGTTTTTAAAAAATGTAAAGCTCGCAAAAGCTTAAAACACATTTTCAAGCTGTAAAAACTTTACGAAAACTTTGACTTTGCGCTACAAGAGCGTTGTAAGCTTTTTTTTTTATAATACCAACACTTGCGGCTTGCATTAGCTTCTAAGCCTTTTGCAAGCGCTGAAAGCTTTGAAATATAGTAGTAGTACAGTAAATGAAAGCTCCAAATTCCAAATATTTTTCCTAAACAAGTAGTCTGTTTAAAAATTAGTAAAAGATTTATGACAACAACAACAAAATGCACATTAATAAAAAAGTTAAAAAATTTTGCATTAATACATTATTACTTTATTTTTAAATAATATAGATAATTATAGTTATTTATGTATGCGTATATTTCTATTATTTATAAATATTTATTCATCTTTTAGCACAGTGGGAATGAACATGTTCTTATTGAAATTAAATTAACTGCAAATAATCTTGCTTTATTTTTATAATGAAATTCATTTTCTATACTTTAGCGCGGTGGCGTTCGCTTTTATTATAAATTTGTATGTGTGTGTGTAGACTACATATAACAAAATTTAAGGGGAACAAGGATGCTTTTTCTAATATTATTATAATTTTTTTTTTTTTTTGCTTTACTTATTTGTTATCAGCTTTAGGCTTAGGCTAGTTTCTAACCTAAAAGTAGTTATTGTATGCATATTTTATGTGTTCACATGCACTTTTGAACTCTAAGCCTATATTTATAGTAATAGGTAGTTGGTTTAATTAAATATAGTAGTTGTATGTAATTACATTTATATATTTTTTATAAATAAAAACATAAAAAATGGAGAAAAAAATCAAATTATACAAATAAGCGTTTTCAGGGTTATACAAAAATAACAAAAAATCTAAAGTATTACTTTTTTTTTTTTAGAAATTTTAAGGATGCTTTAATTTACACTATTATTTCTTCGAGTAGCTAAGTTCTCAGAATTTATAATTAATTCATTATATTTAAGCTTAAGTTACTAGTTAAATAGTGCTCAATTACCAAAGCAATTTTCTCTTCTTCTCTGTTCTTTTCAAGACTTCAGTAGTATTTTTATAAGTAGGTTTATAAATGTACATTTGTATGTTTAAAAAATTATATCCTTTGGTATTCTTTTTTATAGTTTTTACGCATACGCTTTTTGTTTGAATGAAATACAAATATAAGCTATTTTAACGGTTTTCAATTATATATTATATATAACATTTTCAAGTAAAGTTCTGTTTACAATTAAGTTCAACTCTTATTTGCAGCCATTTATAGACGTCGCTATTTACATTTGCGTGACTTTACATTAATCTGGAAGCTACTATAGCTTTCACATTCACCAAAACGCTTCATTAAGCTTTGCGCGTAACGAAAGCTTTCAAGCGCTTTAGTTTGACAAGGGTGACCGCCTGAGTAAGTCTCGCTTTGAATCTGCTATTACTGTGAATTGCAGAGACATATACGGCGCTTCAAGTTCCCATACCATTTTTAGGGTTTCTAGGAATTGTGCAGCAGCACTTTCACCAAAATTGTTCCTGTATATCTGTATTATTTGCTTATAACGAACCTATCACTCGCTTGCGCAGTTCTATATTTACAATAATTATATGCGTCTTTTTAATTTTTTAAATCCTAGCTCAAACATTTAACTTATGCGTCTAGTTTATTTTTATAGGTTTGTAGTTCTCTACGCTTAACCGCCACTCCGCCTCTAACTGGCAAGCAAAGCGCATGTAGTGGATATTTTGAAATACATTTTGCATTGCAGCTGCTCTGTAGTGTGCGCTGCAGCGCTACAAGCACACATAAACAGGTCTATTTTGGTATAATTCAATTTCAGTTTCTGTTCCTGTTTCAGTTTCTGTTTCTTCGAAATTTTCTCTCTACCACTTGAGCCTTCTTTACACTGCTGTTTTTTGTCTAAGACGCCGACATAACGGCATCGCTTATGTTACTCTCATTCAACGCACTTTTATTGGTGATGACCGATAAACCGGTGCCACCATTTTTGCTCATCTTTGTGGGCGTAGTTTCGTCGGTGCTTGTTGTGCTGGCTAAATCGCCCATGTCTTCATCTTCGATGTCACCGTCAGCACCACTTGTACCACCGCCGCTCACATCTTTTGCTTCTTCTGCTGTCGCATCCACCAATTCGTTGTTTTCCATGAGTTGGTTTTTCTTTTGCTTAAGCTCCGCTCCTGAGGGCGATCCGGCATTGGAATTATTAGTTGTATTCGCAATGAGCACACCCGAATAATTTACGCCATTCAATTCGAGATTTACGATCAGCTGTTGTTCACCGTTAGCGTTGGTGCCTGTGTGGTGAGAGAGGAAAAAGGATGCTATTATAGTTTCCAGAATTCAATTTAAAAAATTATGTAATTAGTAGCGCAAAAGAAACTATAGGTTACTGTAGAAAAATGCCATGAGAAAGCTTCAAAAGCTCCAAAGAAATTACAAAACCACCGGAAATCTGTTCCACAGAGCTTTTGTTAAAGTTTATAACAATTTCATTAAACGTATTTCCACTATGTAAATAAAACTTTTGTACTTACCGTTACGAGACACACGGAATTGCATGCCCGACAGGAGATTCAACGTATCCTCGACGCCACCTAAACTGGGGCTATTAGATTGATCACGCCCGACGCCACCACTGCTACAATCCATGGCCGTTGAGCCATTATTATTTTGCTGCTTCGACAGGTGTTTCTTTTTTGTGGAAACCGGTGAAATGTGACCGCTAGCACTGTCACCACAAGCACCGTTGCCATTACTGCTGTCAACACCAATGCCACCGGCCGAGACCGCACTAGTCGAGGGAGAATTTTCGATGGCTGAATCATCAGACTTGTCGTGATTGCCGCTCGTGTTGTTGACGAGGTGTTGATGATGCGTCATTTGTAGGTTGTGTGGCAAGTGGTGAAGTTGCTGAAGATGATGATGCAGATGCTGATGGTGACCATTCAATGCGGGGCGATCGGACTCTTCGTCTTGTGCCATTGAATTGTTGGTGGTGTTGTGCGTATCAGCGTCATCATCGGCATCCTCACCATCGGAGTCTTGGGGCATATGATTGTTGCTGTTGTTGTTTTGTTGATGGAAATTGGCGGCTGCCGCAGCTGCTGCAGCAGCCATACTCGGCGGCAAATAAAAGCCAGTCGGAAAATTGAGTGCGCCACGTTTTGTTGGCGGCGATTGATTATGGAAATCGTCGCGATCGCACGGTTCGGGCGATTGTTCACGCTCACGCTCGCGTTTGATGTTGTTGATGTTTGGCGGTGAATCGGAAAGGTTGAGAGCCTCACTGCTAGAAAGAGGTGGGGAAAACAAAAGTTGTGTTTAGTATGGTTGCAAACCGAAATAACCAAAAGAAATGTGTTTCAGCGTTGAGCTGCACAGATGGCGCGCTAACTAAGAAGTGCTTCAAATACTCACTTCTGTTCGGTTAGGCTTGGCACGCCCAATGCGTTTCCTACGCCGATGCTCCCCGCTCCTCCTACACTTCCCTGTGGTGAGGCGTTCATCGACACTGGTGGGCTGGTGTTGTTGTGATACATTTGCCAAAGCGCGACGCGTGAAATGTCCAAAGCGTTCATCGCCTCATGACTAGCAGTCTCCGGACTTGCTGAACGTTGCCGTTGTGGTTGTTTTACGTGCGCACCACTACCACTGCCAGGCGCACCGACACGCGCCAAAGCTGCCGCATCGCCAGCCACATTGCCACCAGCGGCCGCTGCTGCCGCCGCCACTGCCGCCGCAGCAGCAGCGTTGTTATGCTGCTCCTTCTTCACCTGTATCAATTTAATATATTCCACCATGCGCTGTTCCAATTCGTGCGTCATCAAATTCGGCATTTGACCGAAAGAGGGCGCCATCAGTCTGTGGTGTGCAGCAGCGGCTGCAGCCGCGGCTTGCACTTGCTGATTGTTGGCGGCGTGTGTGACAAGCGCCAATGGTGACATTTGTTGTATACCTCCGGGCAACTGTGGACGTCCAATTTGTGGCTGCATTTATGGAAGAGAGAACATATGAAGAAAATATAATAAAGGTTTTGTTGCAAGAATTATGAAAATTGTTATTGTTTTACTCACCATTTGCAATTGAGCATGCATAGCCTCGTATTGGCCATAACTGGAGCGACGACCCTCACGCCGATTGCCATCAATGGCCGCCTGCAGCTCAGAAGGTGTACTCAGATTCTTCTTATCGCATTCGTAGGGGTAAAGATATTTCATGTATCTGTAAATGGAGCGAGGAAAATGTAAAATATATGTAAGACCTAATTTCTTGAATATAAATAACAGTTCTGGAGTTGAAAAAGTTTAGAAAATCCAACCCTGCGTGAGCAAAATATAATATGAAGCACTAGAAACATATGGGGACTATTTTCATTAATTGATCATTTAGTTAAAAAAGTTTCGAATTGTAATGCCAATAACTTTTGGCAGTAAAAGAACTTGAAAGCGATATATAGAGCTCGGTAAGAAATAGTTTCTCTTGAATTCGGTGAATTGTTAGATGCTGAATATCCTATAAATATCATAAAGGGACGGTGCCTTTTAGCTTTAGACATGAGATTAGCTCAATTTCAGCAAGTTTTTATGTTTCTTATTTTTTTTACTGTATGGAAAATTGGGTCAAAGAATATTCAATTCCCTAGTTAGAATTTTATTTGAAAAATATCCATTTGAACAGGTTCTTTTCTTACCAAAAAGCTACACATTTGTCGGAACGTTCCATATCGAACCGCTCTAGCATATAGCAGCCATACGAATTGACCGATCCTAATGAAGCCCTCATATGGAAAACTTTTGTATTTGTGAAGGGTATTATAGCTTCGGTGCAACAGAAATTAACTCTATCACCGTCTCATTTATATAAAAGTGCCCCATACACCTACTATTGTAAATGACTCAGCCAGTTGTTTAATGAAATGGCAAATAAAAACCTCGATCAAATATTCTACCTTTTATTATGGCTTTTAATCAAAAATTTGCATTACTTTCATTTATGCCGACACCTTCACGAACACAAAACTTCACCGACGCATTAATTGAGATAAACAAATAGAAAATATGTGAATATTTGATGCTTGAAGCATGTCATCATCCTTTGAGTAAGAAATACCAACATCATGATCACTCTTGGAGATGAATGATAATCATCTACGTACGATCTGTGCGCTCCGTTGGACCTAAATCAACAAAACATTTCAATTGTTGCACTTATCCAACAACTGCAAGAAGAAGCAGCGACAGTGAAGTGTGGGAAAGAGGGAAGCGAGTAATGAGAAGAAAAAGAGGCAGCGCGGAAGAGTTAGAAATAATAAGACAAACTTGAGTGACGTGACAAAATGCAAATGCGAAATCTCCAAATGAGTAAACACGACGAACGACTGAACGACAGGCAAGCGGAGACAACAAGAGACACTGCCGCCGTCAAAGCATAGGGCAGCAAGCGTTGCAGTTGTATAAAAGTAATGTTTATTAAATATTTAAATAATAGAGTACAAGCAGCACTAACGCAATCGAACGACTGAGTCAGTAATGAGATGAGAAATTACAATGATCATTAGCTGCGCTTGTGATCGTTGATCGTCGCACATCGATTGTTGGTCGTTGACGTTTTGACTTGCAGCCGTGCGAGAGTGGAGGCTAGTTGCAGGAAGAGTTATTGTGCAGCCTTTGATTGTGTTAATTAAATTAAAAGAATGCTAATGGAAGCCAACACAAATATGAGTTCATAAGGAAAAACAAAGTGAAAAGAAAACGGTGTGGAATTGTGTTTGCGGCACCGTGTTATTTAGTAGGCAGGAGGCGACGTAGACGGCAAATGCGGCGCTCCGCTGAGCTAGGGTATAGTCAAAAACAATATGCAAATAAAATAAATGCTTGCAACTCATGCGAAAGAAACAGCATCGGTGAGCGGACGGACTGTTGACAGGTGTGTATTTAAAGGACAAAGCCGTGTATTGTTTGGCTGGAAGAAGGATCACATTTTAGTCAGTTCGAGTTTGTCGAATTTGATAATAATCTCAAATCATTTTATAGAATATTTAAGACCTGCTTCTTAAAAGCTTTACCACAGAGAAAGGAAGGGTTCCTTGGGGTAAACTTAGACTTTTATTCACTACAATGGCTCTTAGCAGGAAGATTCGTTTCTTTATCTTAAGAATAGGTAGTCGTTCATAATCGTAACGAAAGTTGAGCTTTAAAGCCCTTATGGTCTGATTCAATGATCATTCTAAATAAAAATTGCCGTTTCTCTTCAAGAATCTTTGTCGGATCCGCCGCAATCAAAATCAAGTTCTTTTATTTAATTGATTTATGATTTTATAATTTTATGCCATAAGAAATTCAACTCTGAAAGTTGTTATAGCTTCGGTCCAGCCAAAGTTATTGTTTTTTCTGGTTTTTTTGTAGTTCTTTGGGTTATTGTTTTTTCGATTTTCCGAGGTTCATAATTGCTCTAAGATCTATAAAGACTCCAAGGATCAAAAATGATTTTTATTTTAAAGAAACTCATATTGTTTGTTATTCTAGTAGATGGCGGTTTCTTTATTGGGCCATAACATCCTTGAGGCAACCTAATTTTGGGGTCTTGAGTCCGAATAAATCCTTGAGTCAACTTAATTTGGGGATTTTGAGTCCGAACAGATCCTTGAGTCAACGTAATTTTGGGGACTGAGGCGGTACCAATTTTGTAGACTGAAAATAATATGCGCCGCCCATGCCTAAACGGGATCTTTAACTTGTCGGCACCTCAAGCAACTTGTCTCAAATGAATGTAAATATGTTTGTATGTTTATATTCACATTTGTATGTGTGTGTTTCCATTTGCCGACATCGACTGGTGGTAATTGCACCATTACCGATTCAGGTGTTTACTCACATCAAATGTCTGCCCAACCACCAGCAACATCTGTACGTTCACAGCGAATACATGCGCATTTCGACTTTCATATACATAAATAATTCACACACACATAGACACATTTTAATGCAAATAAAACGCAGCTATGCAGGTTGATCAATGGTGCTAATAAATGATGTTATTGTTGTTGTTGTAGTTATTGTTGTAGAATATTGCGGAACTTAAGTTGTTTTAGCAGTTGCCAGTCAAATTAAAATTGCCAACAGACATAACACGTAACAACAACAACAGAAACAACACTTCCATAACAATAAAATAATTAGCATTTAAAATAGTAATGATTACGATCATCATGCCAATGGTAATATAGAATTGCCACGCAGATGAAGTACCATAAAGTACTAATGAGACGCTGGTGCTTAAATGTATGTATGTACATATTACCCATAGAGTCCCTTGGCACTAACCTCTATCGTCCTCCGGCTAGCCTTCTGTGTTTATATAAGAAATCTTCCTGTCTACTCTATATCATCTCAGCTGAGTACATACATATGTACAGACTGTCCAAATAGCCGAGCACTTGAACCCTTCTTGCACTTGGCAACAGAAAACACACATGCACATACATACATATAATATATGTATATACAAGTATGTAGATTTGCATCAGGGTCCAACTCTTCTGCCGCCTGTTGCTTCCTTTCCATTTCGATTTCATATTTACACGGCAATTCAAGTGAAACATCCATCTGTCCAGAGTGCACAAAACAACAACAACAACAAAAACGCAAGTGATGTTCCGAGACTATGCAAGGATACTCGTCTACTATTTGCTGGCTATCAACGACGCGCAGATCATTGATCATTCAAGCTCAACGCTCCACACGCCATAGTCATGGCTAATTGTTGGCTTAAACGCGCTCAAACTGACTCTGACTCCTGTTATGACCGACGCTTTGCTCTTAATATTTCTTCTTTTATTTCTCCTTTGAGTAGCTTAACTCTTATTGCATGTTTGTTTTAGTTTCCCAACGCGTTGTTGTTAACAACAAACAGTTTGCGTCTTTGCTTGTAACATCAGCATGCAATGTCCGTTGGATTTGCATAAAAATGAGAGTAGATGTGTGAGTGAGAGTGAGTGTGCGTGTTTGAGAAACCATCTTAATTGTTTACTGTTGACTGATTTCTGTAGTGTTTATTAATTAAATGCAAAATATGGCATCCACTGGCCGGAACTCTTGAGTTCAATGCAGACGACAGCGGCGTAGAGATGAGGCCGAGCACTCTTATACTCAGATTCGTCTTAGCTGTGTATGTTTTATTTAACAATATAGCCAGTCAAAGGTCTAACATAAATAAATACAAAACCAAAAAGTTCTGACTTCCGCCGCAAAGAAGCTGGAATACCCACCCTTTACACGTGCAATTCTTTTGGTTTAAAAGGTTATAAAATGATATTTATCTGGCGTTTGATCGGTCAATTTGTATTGCAACTATATGCTATAATTCGGAGAATTAGCGTTGCCTTGGACAACAATTTATGCTAGATTTCGTAAAGATATCTAATTAAATAAAAAAGAACTCGATTATATGTATGCTATAGTTCAAAAAAATGAGTAGCTTCTTGGGCATAAAAAGATGTGCGTAAAATTACAGATCAATATCTCAAAACTGAGGGATATTAAATAGCGAGACAGACGGAAATGACTAAATCGACTCAGCTCGTTACGCTGATCATATCATTTATATACATATAGATAAGGATAAAGGTATGCACCGCGACCTATGGTCTATTGTGCCCTTATATACATATATGTATATCCGACGTTCAAAACAAAAATTGTGCGTTCAAGATGAAAACATTCAGATGTCATACTTTAAGCAGCGACTGTAAAGCGAAAATATAAATTGAATAAAAATTTAACATAAAGAAGTGCCGCCAAAGGAAAAAGAGAAAATAAAAGTTGGAAAATAAACGAACTTTTTGGAAAAAGAGTTCATTGCAAAGTCGGATGAGAAACTTAAATAAAGACGAAAATTCGTTCAACAAATCGATCGAATCAAAATAATAAAATAAAAAGAAACACCTAAAGGAGGAATCAAAAACAACGAAAAACTAAAGTAACAAAAAAAAAGAAGCGAACAAAAAAGTAACAAAAAAAAAAGTTGTCTTAAAAGGAAAGTTATCACGTAACGAGTTAACTGAGTGAACAAGTAAAATAAAAATATAGAAACGCTAATTCTGCAATTTTTTTGCTGCTCCACAAGCAACGTGTTAAAAATATAACATTATACTTGCGCCAATATTTATCTGATGGCACTTGAAAAAAAAAAAATTATTAAAGTTTTTATGAGGCCATTATTGACAAAGGAAATTTTGATGCGTGCCTTAAATTGCGCAATAATTCATAAAAAAATACACTATAATTTAACATAAATGCCATAATTTCGAGTTTGCATTGAACTCTTTTTTTTCTTATGGCAAAATTTTGAAAGCAAGTAAGTGGCGCTTGCGACTTGTAAAATGAGAGCTGTTGTGGCATGCGAATAATTTCATTCCGAATTCCATGTATTTAAGCTCAGTTCTTTGTACAATTATAGCATATGGAAAATAATTTAATATTCTCACTCAGGTGACTGATAATTATTATTATTATACCAATAAAAACTTATACTATGTATGTATGTAAAACCACATTTCGAGGCGTCTTCAAAGCCACTAACACCCAGACACATTTCAGCCATTTTTATTTCAATATTTTGTTATTGCTTCGCTTGCCGGCGATAAACCTCAAAGTTAATTTAATTTTTCATTATTTTGCGATTTCCATACGTGCGCCTACGCTCTCTTTCTCATATATCTGTGGCGGTACAATCAATCGGTTTTGTTGCCGCTACATTTTTTCCATTAGTGAAGTGATCATATTTATTATGACTTGTATAATTGAAATTGAAAATTGGCGGTGTATATAACAATTTGAATACGTATGTGTGTGTACTGCCAAAAAAGTTTAGCGAATTAATACTGTGGGCGTGCTAATTCTCACGCGTTTCCTGCGTTGAGCGGCACGAAATGGATCATACAATCATATGTATGTATTTATATGGTCATAATAATGGCTTAAAGGGCTACTTTAGGTTTTCAAAAAGTTTTCGACGGCAGGATGAAATAAGTAACGATTAATTTTGAAAAACTTTGGAAAACTTTGAATTCCCTTGATCCCTTAGCTTGACCTCGTAGTACAAGAGGTGCTTCGAAAAAAGGTCATCTGGAGATGAGGAACATTTTGCTACTTAAAATTTTTTTGAAATCCAAAAATCAAAAAAAAATTGTTAATACCATAGATAAGTTCTGGTAAATATCGAAAAACTATTCAAAATTTTGATTTTTGTTAAAATGGCTTCTTCCCAAAACAAGGTCGTTTTTTTTTTGTGAAAAAACTTACACTTCAGAGTGGCTTAAAAACCGAAATATTTATTAAAAAGTTATTCCTTCGATCATTACCTGGCAAATTGATCGGTCTAGACGTTTCAGAGAAATTTTCTTCACCGACTCTGAAAACAGGGTTTCTAGCCTTTCTAACAATCGACAAAATTTTAAATATTTACTATACTTGTACTTTTTTCTTGACTTTTTCAAAATGTAGACGCTTGAACCTTTCACTAACTCACAATCTTCAACAAAAAGCTTTTATGTATGCGAAATTTTTTCCACCGACTGCTGCCCATCACAACTTCATGCATAGCAACATGTCGAGCCCACATTACTACTTTTAGTGGCTCAAATGAGTGATATTTTATGCGGCGCAATAATTTAAGTAAAAATTTAAATTTAATTAAAGCCTGTGTAACATTATTGGCAGGCAGCCGCACCAAAAACCGCAGAGCAGCCGCCATAAATGAGTAAATGCTTACAAATTTAATGTAAGGCGTTGCCAGGCGAAAAACTTAAATAACAATAAAATTAAATATGAAAAGAGTCGCAAAAAAAAAAAAACAAAAAACGGGGGAAAAAGTAGCGAAAAGTGGTAAAAACAAAATAGTAAAAAGCAAAGAAGGGAGAGAGCAACAAATACAATTACATAGATTTGAATATTTTATTTGTAGTCTAGAAATATGTATGTGTGTGTAACTGCGCTCGTGTGTTCGCGTGCATTTTCGTGTGCTTTTTATTGACTGCTAGGGTGTTTTGTGGCTGTCAAAAGCTTTCGCGCCAACACTCTGCTTGAGTGTGTGTGTGTGTGTGTGCATACTTTTAGCACTCACTGTATACATGACTGGCATTCATAGACAAAATGCAATTGTTGCTTATACATATTATCATTTTGCTTGCAACAGTGCGGAGACATAAATGCGAATGGCAACAAATAAAGCCAACATTTTTATGATCTGTTATTAGCAATTGTAAATTATTGCACGAGCACTAAAATTTTGCAAACCAATGTCTGCTGTTGGTAATGTGTATAGTGTTGTTGGTGTTTGTTGCACAAAGTTAGTTATTAGGGCTGTTGGCGGTAGCGAGCAGGAGTGTGTAAGTAGAGAAATGTGTGCTTATGTAAACGGTAGTATACATATGTATGTATGAAAGTGTCTGCTAACACACATACACTCACATACTACTCAAATATGCACAAATCAGGTGTAAATAATTTTTTTATCGAAATTTCTCTAACAAACTGACGCCTGCCAGACACATTTGTGGTGAATTATTTGAAAGAAAAAAATCCAAACAAGAAAAAACGAAAACCTGCGCTGCACCGAAGCTATAATACCCTTTACACAAATAGAAGAGTTTTCCATACATGAACTTGATTTTGATCGATCAGTTTGTATGGCAGCTATATGCTATAGTGATCAGAACTAAACAATTTCTTCGGAGCTTACCTTGCTGACTTTGAAAATAACTCATTTCGTGAAGATATTCGGTCAAATATAAAAGCTTTCCATACAAGTACTTGATTTGATCGTTTGGTTTGTTTGACAGATGGACATGGCTAAAACGACACAGCTCGTCACGTTAATCATTTATATGGTATACACGCTTTATATCATCTACGACCTATACTTCTGGTAGTATAATACCCGGTATAAAAATTACCAGACTGAAAGTAACCGTTACACGTTGCAAATACATATCTTTGGTCAGTTGGACGTCCACGCATAAAAAAATATCTATACATGCATTTATGTCTGTAGGTGTGTGCAGACAAAGCGAAGCTTAAATTTCAAAAATTTTAATTATAAACTACTCCAGCCACTTTGTTGCATGCCACAATGTGTAAGTCATTTTAAGCGAGACATAACTTATTCTATAATTTGTTACTGTTGGCACTGAAGCTGCTGCTGACGACTGACTGTCGTTTGTTGGATTGCTGCACGTCCACGTCGCACAGCTAGACAGTTAGTTAGTTGGTTAGTTATTTAGCCATTTAGCAAGAAGCCACAAATGTCTTTTGTGGCAATAAAAAAAAAGCCAAATAAAAAGTTTAAAATAAAATTAAAATAAATAAAATGCAATAAAAATCGCAGCAGCAAAACTTTATTTTTGCATGTATATTTGCGGTTGCAAGCATTTGCAGCATTTGTGGCATGCAACTGCATAATGTTTTTTCTTGTTGTTTTTATTTATTATTGTTGTTGTGGAAAAGGGCGCAACCGAACGTTTGCCACATAAAATATGTCATCAACTCGACATTAATGCAACAACACGGGCCAACAAGACGCTGTGCTCTTTGCTGCCAATGTGCCCATAACACACATACAAACATACATATTTACTTATGTGCATTAGTATTAGTATTTGTTAGGTTTTAGCTTGTTTCGATGTTTTTTACACACATTTATTTGTGCGAAAATTCAGACACACGCGTTGAAAATCTTTTATGCGAGTTTATTGCACTTTTGCGGAAAACAACAAAAACCAGAAAGAGTTACCTTTATTACTTCGTTGAATATTTTTGAAGTCTTTGGCAACAATTACAACCGGTAAGTGGGCAAAAAGCTCGGCTGCCTTAGCTTATCAGCGTGATTTATTCGGTAAAATGCCATTTACTTCTCCATAAAGGCTCAAATAAAACTAATCCTTAGCAGTACCCATTCTTTTCAGTAAGGTAAAACTAGAGCTTGGTATGAAAATACGGGCATTTTAATTTGTAAACACCTATAAGGAGCGCTCTCATGTATTCTAAATCTATCTATCAATTGTATTCACTTTTTCACGAAATTCCATTTGAAAGATTATATACCGAAGAAATTTATGGCTTTATAGAGATACATTCTTTTTAAATTTAGGTTATTTGCTTCCGAATTTTCCATCAGAAACTGAGAGGAGTTCAAGCTCGATTATTAAACGGGTAAATAATTCTATTGTACTGTTTCAGTTTTTTCTCGAAAAATTTGACTATTCGGGAAAATTTTTGAGTTTTAAGTAGATGTGGTATTAATAATGCAACCATATCTCGGTTTACGATTACGATTCTTAGATAATCAACGTAATATTGTCGCTATATACTTTAAATGATCATCATTCGTTTTACCAATTTCTTGAGCCTAATATTTGTATATCATATTTCAAAAATCTTCTAACTGTACTCATCCCAAAAGTATGCTTCGACTAACGTCTATACAACGAGGCTACGAAATTTAAGACATCGCAACCTTAGAACCCAGACGTATTCTATAAACAAGAGATCAGTATAATCATAAGATCCGGAAACCCCCCGATATTGTTTTTTTTATATTTTTATATTTTGCTAAACAAATATTAATTTTACTTAATTCAAAATTCATGATTATCTACTTACTGTGTTCTCAATGTGAATGCGGCACTTGTTATGCTTGAGGGTAAATGTAGACCCTTAATTATTTCCTGCCACAATTTCTTATTGATAACATCAACAAGACCGCCACGCGCTATAACCAAATTATATAGCTCATATAAGTCCAAAACGGATTTCGCCATTATCGGTAAACGATTGATGGGTGTGCCTGCGAATAAGAAAGAAAATATTTTAGAGATAAATAAATTAATAATCATTAAAATTTTTACATTTATAAATGAAAAATACGAGAAATACTTATAGAAATTATGTAATATTAGATATAAAATTGTATTATAACGGTATTCATATTTTTAGAGTTATAATAAATGCAGTTTTTGACAAATAATTGTACCTATAATTTAGTTTATGTAACCTCTTTTGTATATATTTTTGTAATGAATATCAAATCATCAGTTTCTAAAATTTCAAGGTATATACGTGAACGATCAATATCAAGTCCTTGTATGGTAGACTTTTTTTATTTGGCGCGATATCCTCACGTATTTCGGCATGAATTAACGTCAGAGGCAACGCTACAATTTTCGAACAAATTGTTCACATCGGATCACTATAACATTTAGCTAACATACAATCTGATCGTTCAAAGTCACTGCTGTATGGAAATTATTTACTTTGTGAAAAATATTTTATCTGGTTTTTTTTTTATACGTACTCCGAAAATAACGTTAAACTCGTTGAGAATTGCCAAAACAAGTAGAGGTGACAAAGAAAAAAGAGTTATACAAATTTGAACTTTCACATTCATTCGTATTTGTAATTGCGAATATTAAATTTCCTTAAATAAATATTTTCTTACATTATTTACAGTTATTTCACTGATAAGTAATTAAGATAATTTTCGTAAAGCAACTATTTACACAGACTACAAATCAAACATATTTACCTGAGGAAAAAAGTGAGAAGTGATAATGGAAAATAGAAATATGCTGTTATTTAAACGGCATGCCTACTTTGTTGTTGCAATAAGAAATAACAAATGCTATAAAAAAAATTTATAGCAAAGCACTCACTATACATACAAACATGAATATATATATGAATACAGTTATCGTAAATAGTACGTTGTATATATGTATATATAGTCAATAAGTAGCGTAGCTAATGGCAAGTACAAACAAAAGCAACAAAATCAACAACAACACCAGCAACACATGAATGAATAAAGAAATAAAAACCAATAAAAATCTCGAACAACACAAGCAGACAAATGGAAAAACGATTTTTAATTGCTAGCAATCAATTTAATTACAGTTCAATTTGCATCGAATGATCATAGAAATAACAACAATAACAACAGCAATAAGTAGCCATAGCAATAGCGCAGCAATGCGCCGAATCACACACTCATCTCATAAAACTACAAGGAAATTAAAAAATAAAAACGATTTAACATCGAATGATCAAGTTTAAGCAAATGATCGGACGGACAAGCAGCCAATCCAGCAAACTGAATGGCTGACTGACGTTAAACGATCGTCAACAGCTTTACTGCCAACACTCGAGCACAAAACTTTTCAGCATTTGAATTCGAGTAAATCCATGCACATACGAATCAATCCGATCGCAGCTAACGATCGGCAAGCATTCATCTTGATAATGATGAGGATGCGGAGGCACAGCGGAACTTATCAGCGAGTAATTGCTGGAAACGAAAGTGTTAAATGCTCAACTAAGCAGAACAACAACAAAATCAATAAAATAGATTTATCGGCAAAGCAAAAACAAAGTGGCTATACTCGTAAACACCGGCAATCACAGACAGTCTTACAGACAACTAGACAGAAGAGCAGAGTCGTCGGCTCATACAAATAATCAATTCAATACACACATTCAACTTGCGGCTGCTGCAATCGTTTTATAACGAGTATTATTAGGCTGATTAGTAATAGGAGAAGACGACTAGCAGCGATCAAGCGTGGATGAAAACGTTCGTTTGGCGGTGCAATGATGCGTGTGCGCTGAAGTGTTGCCAACATATTGTAATAATTATAATTATTGCGCAAGCTCATTTCGTTTTCAAACAAGTATTTAAGTGTGTGAAATGTTAATTAATTGCGCAGCGATCGCGTTGAGCGTGAAAAAAAAATGTATGTTAGCTATAATACCATTGCATTGCTTATAGCATAAAGGGCAGAAAAAGATCTTTATCTTCATTTTAATTAATCAGTTGTATGGCAGCTATATGCTATAGTGGTCCGATCTGAAAAATGTATTCGGAGATTATAACTTTGCCTCTGACAATAATCTGTGCAAAATCTCGTGAAGATATCTTGTCGAATAAAAAAGTTTTCCATACGAGAACTTGATTTTGATCGATCAGTTTGTATGGCAGCTATATGCTATAGTGGTCCGATATTGGCGATTCTGACAAATGAACAATTTCTTGAGGACAAAAGAACGTGTACAAAATTTCAGGGCGATATCTCATAAACTGAATGATTTGCTTGCTGTTCTAGTAATAATTAAAAAAAAACTGGTGAGCGAAGACGAGCGTATACTAAAGTGCCCTAAACTGGTTCAGATCTTCTTAATTGTGGAGAACAATTCACGCATTTCGCCAAATGCTGCCATCGATCACGTCCAGCCACAGCACTCACGCACCTACACCCTATACTTAAGTATACCATATATTTATGTGATTACAATACAGGTAAATAAACACCCACAAATGAAATGAAATTAAAAGCGATCAGTTAATGATCATAAAATTCAGTTTAATAAAAAGGCAATTTGTACATTTTCGTATACTTTTTCTTCAACTCAAATATACACGATCGATTGACTTTTTTACGACTTCGCTCGCAAGGGAATCAATCAAACTACAAATGATCGACATGTTGATTGAATGAAAACGTTGTTGTGTTGTGCTATGTTGTTATACATATTGCGTTAATGCGTAAACACGAGCGAAAAAAATGCGCCTGCAGGCGCTATGACGAGCAGCGGCGGCGGTGACGGCGGATCGATCAGTGCGGATCGGTTGTGAAGAATTCGAAATCAAATAAAAATTGAAAAATAATGTTGAGAAATAAAAAGTGAGAAATTACCAAATGATTGTAGTTGTAAACGCATAAACGCACATACATACATACCTAGCATGCAATTAGAAGTAGCTGAAGGAGAGGAAGGAGCGCAGAGGCTAAACGATTGCAGTGATCGAGTGATCGTTGCAATAAAAACTGAGAAATTACCAAATGATTGCGCATACAAATACATATAACAAATTATATCTGTGCATACAAGCGCATCTGCATAGAGAAGAGACGGCGATAGAGGTGGCTAAGTGATCGTAGTGATGGAGTGAACGTTGCAGAAGATCATTTGCCTCAGCACGCGAGCAATCAAGTGAGTGAGTGCGATTTAATGATGCTCACAAAGTTGCCAACAGCAATATTTATCAAAAAATGTACAATGGCTGTTGAAAAAATTAATTGCATGCCACAGAGGTGGACAGAAAGTGCGCCAAATCAAATTTTAATGAATGCAATCTTCACAAAAAAATTATAAGTTATAATAAACTATTTGCCACACACATCATTTGTCAGAAAACGTAAAACACGTAAAACAAACAAGAAAAAATTATAAGCTGTAACACCATTAACAAATAAAAAAGATTTACAGGGTCAGTTTGTAAGGCAGCATATATGGTAGTGGGCCGATCTGAATAATATGTTATATTTGGAGATTGTAGCGCTACCTTGGACAATAATCTATGACAAATTTCGTGCAGATGTTTGGCTGTTTAGTTTTCCATAAAAGAACTTGATTTTCATCGTTCAGTTTGTATGGCAGCTATATGCTATAGCAGGCCGATCTGTATAATATGTTCGGAGATTGTGACGCTGTCTTGGAAAATAATGTATACCAATTTTGGTGAAGAAATCTAGTCAAATAAAAAAGTTTTTCACACAAGTACTTGATTTTGATCGTTCAGTTTGTATGGCAGCTATATGCTAAGGTGGTCCAATTACGGCGATTCCGACAAATGAGTAGTTTCTTGGGAATAAACGAACGTGTGCAATATTTCAGATGGAAAACTCAAAAACTGTGGGACTAATTCGAGAATATACAGACAGGCGGGCATGGCTGATCCTTTATCTACATACATATGGTATATATTTTATGGGATCTCCGTCGATTTCCTTCTGGAGGTTACAAACTTCGCGTACACTATTCAGGGTATATATTAATATAAACGATCGAATGGAGAGCAACGTCTTTGGCGCCGCAGCCAGCGTTAATGAATGCTGATGCTTCATAATACTCATTATATGATGGCAATATGCATTTTTGTGGCAAATTGGGGCGGTTAAATATACAAAAATAACATACATGTAATGTAGCCATAAAATTATTTAAAAATGCATTAAAAATTACTGACGCACACACACACTTACATCCATACACAGAAGAGCAGCGAGCGCTTGAATATGTATGATTCACTACGGTGAATACGCTGCAATATGACAATAAGACGCAGTGTGGCGCTCAGACTGGAGTCGACACAAAAACAACTACAAAATCAGGGAGGGGGTTGGAAAGTAAGTGACAGATATATGCGCTGACTGAGTGGCAAGCACACGACTGGCAATCAAATGACAACAAAAGTGCCAACAACATATCAAAATAGCGACAACAACAGCAACTGCAGTAGTGAAGGAGGCAAAAATAAGTAGCCAAAATAAGTGGTAATGATGACTAACAGTATTTGGAGCCGACCTGGCAGTCACAGGCAGATGCATGGATGCCCATCAGCAGCCTCATTATCACTAATAACAACACAATCAGCATACGCGAAGTGTCGACTTCTCCAGTAGTATATATGGATAGATATATGTATATACATACATATGTATATGTATAAGTATCCCCCAATTGCAGTCAAGCCAACAGGAATGTGGCTCGCCAGCAGTCAATCAGTCAAAGAAATACCCTGACATAGACTGCAACTGTTCTTGCTGTTTTCCTCAGGTATCCACTAGGTTGTTGTTGTTGTAGGTCCCAATTAAATTATGTATGTATGTCTATTTGTATGTCGTAAGTAGGCTCATTCATTCACACTTGAGCGAAAAATAACTGAAAATCACTTTATATTGAAAATTTTGCTGTGTAATGTATGGCAACGCCAACTGAAGCACCTTCATT